ATTTGTAAAACTGATGGTTTCAAAAATTATTAAGCTATCATTTTTAATATCCCCAAGGTTACAAAGACTGTGAAATCTATAAATTGTTTCTTATCTTAACAAATAATCTTTGATTTTATATTTTATCAATTAAAAGTCAATGAGTGATTATTATCTAATCTCACAATTATTTTTTGTTTTTAAAATAAATTAAATATTTAAAATATTTTCAAAGCAAATTTTTTTAATGAAAACTGATAAATACATTTTTATTTATAAATTTACGTATTTATAAAAAACTAGCTGTTGCCCGCGACTTCGCACGCGTGAAGTCGTGTTTTTAATGTAAAAAATGTATGACTACTCAAAAAAAGGATAACTAATACGTTTGTTAGGGTTCAGGATATGTATGTTATAGTATCATAGATTAGAGTTAAGTAGAGTAATCTAATATGTAAGTATAGTAATCTAATTGAAAATCTCTTTTTATAGCACATTTCTGGTAGGGCTCTCGTCTGCTAATATCACCAGATTCCATTCTCCATTCTCTAACAGGTCACATGAAACTGTCCTCGAGAAAAGCAGCCCTCCCTTAGGCAGAGTACATACAATATGTCTAGAATTTTCTGAAGAATCGAAAAATTGAAAAATATACAGAGTGTTGCATTTAAAATAAGAAAGTTGATATTGGCCACTGTTACAAGAGACACCATCTATAAAAAGGTTTTGTTAAAAAAAAACACGTCCCCGTTTATTTTTTACCGAATTTATTCCATTTGGCTGTTCCACACCGTATATAGATAGATAATATAATTCTATTATTTTTATTTTATATACTTATTGTGATTGTGACGACAATGTTGTTTCTAATAGATTAAATTTTTCACTTGCGTATTGATCAACACTATCTCTGTCTTACTAATTAGATTATATATAAATACTCATATTATTAGTCATTGAAAATTTTAAAACACTGTCCCAGGAATCAATTAAAACCCTCTCCATTCTCGTTCCAAGTACCCTTCCCTACAAACTTGGCTATGGAACACATTAGATGTGCGAAATCAGAGTTGTCAATTTAAATATTAGTGTATCTATATAAATAATATATATCTATACAAAAATATTATTGAGCAAGTATAAAATAATGTACCCTATAGATGCCATAGGATAGCGAATAAAGTCTAGGAACAAAATATTTTCTTTGAAATGAATGAATGTATAATTAAGTATAAAATTGTTGGTTGATGAATAAGATTGTATTCTGCATTTTTTTAAGGGACATGTCAAATTTATGTGACGTTAGCGTTTAACAATGTTGGCAACGCGTCGAGTGATATATCAGAGAAAAACTAATTTTTTCTCTTTTCAAGAATATCTAAAAAGTACCACATTACTTATGTAATACAGTACCATTCATCACCCAAAAATACCTTGTATGTATAGGATCAGAAAAAATAATAATAATGTAATACAGTCCCATTTATCACCCTAGAATTTCATAATTATACATTCATTCGTTTCAAAGAAAATACCTTGTTGAGAGACTTTTTCGCTACCCCATAGGTTCCAATACGTTTGCTATTTGTCAACTTTCTGCCCTAAAAACACTAAAAATCAACAGAAAAATAGAAACGATTTAAAAAATGTTAGGTACGCATACATACCATACAAGACATAAAGGAAATTCAGAATATTCAACTTAAAAAGCAATCTCTGGCTTTTTGATTATATTCCCGAAACAATTTTACATCATTATAAAGGGAATTGAAAGACCTTTTAAATGATGAATCATTCGACCCCACATTCCATTTTAAGATTGTAGGGATGGTGCCACCCCCGCCTAGGGGGCTGCACGTGATTTTTTGCCAATTTTGTGTCCCTCTGGAAAACAAAATCGAAGGGTCTGAGCGCTTTTCCAAAAAAGAACTGAGCTGCCAGTAAATGTCTCGTAAATGTTTCGTTTTCGATGCACCGCCCTGTATAATGTTTTGATGGCCGAGTTAGCAAGGCAGCGCGCGTAGAACGTGACGGTGGGGGCTCGAATTCTTGCATTTGAAATTTTTCAATATTGTATTTTAATAAATGTGTTTGAGAATTTTGAAAGAATTTATCTAATTTAATCAATATAATCAAGTACCCAATTTCAACTCAAATTACTGATTTTATATTAATTATGTACCGAATAAACAAGAATAATCAATATTATTTGTCGATAATATAAAACCAAGATATAATAAAAATTAAGTACCTAAAATATTAAAAACTATAATAAAATTTACACAACTAAATTTAACTTTATAATAAAACTTAAATAGCTTACTTTAACTTTATAATAATATGAAATGATATAGTGCTGTACTAAAAAATCATCATATAATTTGAACAATAACATTTGACTTGACTGAGTTAATATCAGAGATATAGCCATTCACTGATAATAGTATATTATTTAACGAGCGGTAATGCAGGTATGATCATTACCGCAAGTTAAATACTCTATTTAGGGGTCGGCGGTTAAAAGACGAACGGTGAGAAGTAAGAAAAGAGAAGGATTTTACGCAGATACAACTTTATTTTATCAATGAATAAATGTGTAAGCGATATTCACTTATAATAAACAACATAACGTATAAGCCCTGTTGCCACTTCCAAATTACGATTACTAGATTTTGGAATTTATTTTAAATTATTACATTTAATTTAGTGATATTACATATAATTTAATTAAATTTGATATAACAAATGATTCAACATTTTTTGGGTTCAGTTGCACTAAAATAGGATACATTATTTTAGCTTTTTTAATATATATAAATAATTTTGTAAGCAAAACGAGAATAATGAAATAGGCATATGACAACAGCGGATATTATACCCTCCTGTGTCCTTTAGAATATGTCTTATTCAAGACCGCACGATATTTGTTAGTAGTTACATCTCCGGTTATCTCTGGTTAATATTATCTGTACAGTTTAAAGTACATCTTTTCTTATATATTTGAATAATGTTTAAGTTTTTCACACTACGAGGCAATTAATTGTATTAAAAAGTCCATTGTGGAAAAGATCAGTTGGTGGTTACTCTAGAACCATATGTCTACTCTGCCTCAGGTTAGATATATACATTTGTTATATATCTAGTGTTTCTTAATAAATAATTAGGAAGCGATTTGGGTTTTATTTTATGTACAAGAGTCATTGTAATTAGAAATAACATTAGTTTATCACTCAATAATTATGTTGCTTATAACATGGTTTTAATATTAGGTACTTGTATAACGATTACATCCTATAATGCAAGGCAAGGCACGATTCTGTTTTTTGAAGTACCCTTTTTTCGGTAGTGCTCAATAGATATACATGAACAGTAGTTTAAATGTAAAATAATCGATTTGGAGATTGTTAATTTTGACTATTCTCTAAGGTAAATATTCATTATTTTCATTATATTTATCAGTTACATATTCTGCCTGTTTAGAAAATGTTAAATGTTCAAAATATAAAGAATACAAATCAGAATATGTAATACAAATTTGTTTAAAATGTGACAAATTATTAAAAACTAAAATTTGTAAAAAAAAATTTTTAAATTTATAAAGTCTAATGTTTTCCAAATATAATACGTGTCTGACTAAACCTAGAGATAGTGAATTTAGAACAAGTCATGTCTTGTGTGGGCTAAGCAACATTTATTTAATCTAATTCAATCGCTTAAGGGTCAGCAAATAATGTAGAAGTCACACTTGAGTAATAATTAGTGCATTTAAAGTAATTTGTGGAAATGAAGCGATTCACTTTTACATTTTATAAAATAATGTTTAACAATTATTTATTTATTTGTTTAAAATGTATAACAAACAATATGTTTCGGGGGGGAGGTAGTTGGGAATTGGATATCAGAAAAAAACATTACTGATGCCATTTAGTGGGGTATGAAATGAAAATTATTTTTTAGCACTTTCTCGATCTTTAACATACTAGTTTCAAAATCTATAATACGTTTTTTACGGTACTTCTTTCACATATTTTCGAAAATGCTTTTAAATTGCTCTCCTTCAACTTATATCAGAAAAAAACTAAAAATCATGAACTTTGAAAATAAGTTATTAAATAAGCAAAAATTATTTATTTTGCGGGGTCAGTTTTGGGGATTCAGTAACTTGAAAATTATGAAAAAAATTATGATGTCATCATGTGGGGTATCAAATAAGATAGCTCTTTGAAGCACGATTTTAAAAATGTTTAATATATTCGTTTGTCTTTTTTAAACTTTTCTAAAAAAAATTTCAAAATTGCTATTTTCTCAGCCTATCTCTAAAAGTAACACTCAGAAAAACGTTTATAAGAAATAGATTAAACAAAAATTATTTATCTTGTAGTTTTGGAGAGGACGTTAATTAGAAGTTAGAAAAAAAATGCTGATGTTATCGTGTGGGGTATTAAATTAATGCTCTTTCAAACATGATTTTAAAAATGTATAAAATTCTTTGCGTTACTTTTTCCTAAACACTTTCTAAAAAACGGACTTTAAATTACTCTTTTTCAACTTATCTCCGGAAGAAACACTTTTACCAGTTATTTTAATGTGGACAATACAAATGATTTCTTTCTCCACCACAAATTTGTTTTAAAATTAAAGACATAAATTTATGAATAAAAAAAGTGTTAAGATTACATTTATTAATATACGAGTATCTATCTATCGACCTACAAACTCTACTGATTTTAAAATAAATATGGTTCAGAACACACTATTGCGCAGACTTGCACTTAGCCGATTTTTTCTTTCTTGTATTAGTTATTTATTTAGATATAGGTACTACAGAGTTAGATAGGGGTAGTCTTAAAGATTTTGTAGATATATTATTAAAAACAACTTGTCACCTTTTTGAGTTTAGCTATTTGTTTTCTTCATCTAGAAACTTTACTAAATTAAAATGTTTAAATAAATTACATGCATCAAAGACGACAAACAACCTCATTAATTAATTATTGATAAAAAACAATACTTCAATAATAATTCACAGTATCTTATCACAGATTCATTCCGTTTTAGTACATTCAATAATTTATTAACACCATTTATTCTCTAAAAAGCCTTGATTCAAGCACCACCGATCATGTCTGTAACTCTAGAAGAAGGTAAACCTAACACTCAAACTCAAAACGAAGAAATTAAAAAAGGTAAGTTCCATTTAATTAATATACAGGGTGTCCCATTAGTGCGTAATTGTTCAATATTTCAATTTGTGTTATAGACACGCAAACTAAATAAAAGTTATATGGGTTTGAAAAATACATATTTTAAAAATATTTGATATATAGGGTGTTTGCCTAGCAAATAAAAATGTATTCTTTTTTAATAGAACACCCTGTATTTTATTTTATTTTTAGAATGGTTTAGTAATACTATATTCAACCCTAGAATCTTTTTAAAATAGTTTTTTAAAATTAGAAAATGATGCAGGCCCCAAATAAAATTATCATAATTTAGATAGGTTTACATTGATTTCAAAATTGTTTAATATACAGACTAATAAGATACTAATCTAACAAATAGTGCTGATAGAACTGGTTTATTTTATACAGAGTGTTTTGAAACATGTCTTAAATATGGCTAATGTTAAGTTCAATTTACTCAATTTTTTCAGATGTATATTATCTTAGTATAAAACGTATACAGGGTATACCATCAGTGTGTAATTTATCGATTGCTGTTTTATTATTAAAAATACGAAGAAATTTTTAATATAAAAGTTGTATGACCATATTTAACATACAAGGTGGTCCATAAACGAGGTGTTGACCAAATCTAAATTTTTCAAAGCAAAACGCCCTGCAGATAGTTAGGCAATTTTACAAATTTGATTGTTTTCACATCGTCAAACAATTTTAATTGACTTTATTCATTTACTACGTTGTATAAAGGGTGTGTCAAAACTTGAATTTGCGATTTTCTCAATTTTTTAAATAGATAACCCTGTATTAATTAATTGGTGGTATAACATATAGGGTATTGCATTTAAAAAAATGAAGAAAATCGTTACCCCGCATTTTGCTTTAAAAATGTATAAGTGCCCTTCGTTTATGGACCATTCTGTATATTTAAAAATATTTATCAAAGATGATACATTTATATATTTTTTTTCGTATTTCTACTAATAAAAGAGATATCGATCAATTACGTACTGATGGCATACCCTGTATAAGTGTCATTTGGCTAACTCGTTGATATAGTTGGATAGGTAAACTTATAAGGAATTTTATGCTACAATAATATACAGGGTGTTACATTAAATTGAGTAAACTGAACTAAAAATTCGCCATATTTAAGACATATTTTAAAACAATTTTGAAATCAATGTAAGTAAACCTACCTAAATTATGTTAATTTTAATTGGGGGTCTGCATCATTCTCTAATTTCATAAACAAATATTTGCTTGGCACCTCAGTAATACAATATTACTAATTCATTCTAAAACTAAAATGAAACATATATTTTTATTTTCCAGACAAAAACGATAATGCATATTCAAAAATATTTTTAAAATCCATATAGCTTTTATTCCAAACTTGTTTGTGTGTCAAGAACACAAATTAAAATATTAAACAATTACGCACTAATGGGATACCCTTTCTAAATAAATAAAATTTTTATTTGTATTATCCTAAATGTGTATTAAAACGATTTATAAATCAACTAGATATCTAACAAAAATAATCATTGTATGTACCTATATAAAATTTTGTTAATTTTCTCTTATAAAGACTTTATCAGTAGGTAGTTAAAAAGTAATTTAAATAATTCATTATTCTTCTTTTCGTAAAATAAAAATTTTTTTAACTCGTAAACGAATCATTTCGTTTACTATTTTTTCTCTGGTGTATTTTTTGCTATTCTATTATTTCCTTAGTTTCTCTATTTTGACACTGGTCTCGTCTCTATTCTATTTTATTCTTTTCTCCTCACTTTTAATATGGCCTTATATACAAAGCCTTCTAATCCAAGTGACATATAGGTTACTATTTTTAATAATACCTATAGGCTGTAGTGTTAACACGCAGCATTTTTAAATAATTACCGAAGTGTACAGATAGAAAAGTCAATTCAGAGAAAAGTAGAGTTGGACGATGGCGTAATTTTTCAATCATGCTTTGATTCGTTTCTGTCGTTACTTAGTAAAAATTTAAATAAATGATGTTTTATTTCATCAAATTAATGACATATTATTTATTCGTTAGTATTTTATAAAATCGATAGAATATGTATAGAATGTCAATTTATCAATACAATTAAAATAATGAAAACAATGAAATTTCGCCAATCTCTATGGGACATTTATTAGTATAATAATTTATTTTAATATTTGTTTTATTTTTGATTTATTTATTTAATAAGAATAATAAACATTTTATAATACAAAATGAAATAAATTTACAATAAAAAATTATTCTTAAAATATGCACTTAGATGAAAAAACATCTGTATGTGCAATAGAAATAGATTAAAACTACATAAAGTTAACAATACCTATAAACTAAACATTTGATGATTAAAGGGACATGCATATATAAGAATAGGTATTTATAACAAATTTGAGAGGTATAAATATTTATCAAATATAAATTTTCTGATCGCTTTTGAAAAGGTTTTTATGTTTTTTATTTGTCTGATATTTTCACTTAAAAAAGTTGTATACTTTTGGCCCAATTGAAGAAATGAATCTTTTATTTCCATCATATTTAAAGAATGGTACATTTAGCATTCTTCTCTTTTGTTTTCGGGTCATATAAGAGTGGTTTACAAAACTTTTATTTTTCAGTTTGAAATAGAACATACAGCTAGAGTGAAAGTATAGTGATCTTACGTTTGGAGTGGATTCGTTGAAAACAAACGACTTTTTTATGATTTATTATCTTTAAGATATAATTTTGAATGATCTTCAATACAAATCTGTTTGAAGTTAGCATCTGTGAGTGAGAATGTTTTCGATATATTTAAAGATAGTTTATTATAATCCAAAAAAACTAATACAAGATTGTAAGTAGCTGAGCTACCCTAAAAATATTGTAAACCTGAAACGAAAAAATAAAATAAATGATAAAATAAAAAAATGAAATCAAGGAAAAAAAGAAAAAAAAAAAAAAAAAAATAATACAAAAAAAAAAATAAAAAAAAAAAAAAAAAAAAAAATAAAAAAAAAAATAAAAAAAAAAATAAAAAAATAATACAAAAATAATACAAAAATAATACAAAAAAAATAATCAAAAATACATATAATAAAAAAATAGACATTTTTTATAATTAATTACAAACTCAGGTATTTTGATAGCTGTAAGTCAAAATATAATAATAATAATAATAATAATAATAATAATAATAATAATAATAATGTAATCATGTAACAATAGTGGATAAAACAATTAAAGAGTTATGGATTACTACAATAGTCTGGCCTTTTGGTTTTATCCAGTGCCATTAAAAAAAAAAAAAAAAAAAAAAACCAGTCTTTCATAATTCTTACCCCTTTAACCACTTCTGATTTTGCAGCTTCCCAGGTTTTACCTTCAAACATTAATACGGTGTCATCTACATAGGATATTGCTATACCATTTATATCTAAGTTTAAAAAAGAGTTGATATAGATGATACAAAGAATTGGACCAAGGATAGTTTCTTGTGGCACACCTATTTGAATTTTAACAGGATTACTAAATTCATTTCTAATTTTAACTATCTGTGTTCTCTCGTGTAGGTAGTTTTCAACATTTTTTAAAACCAGTTCTCGCATGCCATAATGTTCAAGAACATTTAGTAGTTGCTTATAAGGAACAGTGTCAGAAGCTTTCGCGAGGTCGATAAAAACACTTATATTTTTATTTTCATTCTTAAGACTGTTTTTTATATTAGATATCAATTCATATATGGCATCACAAGTGCTAACACCTTTTTGGAACCCAAACTGTTTAACATTTAATACCTTTTTATCAATTAGATATTCTTTTTATTAAACATTTTTCAAAAATTGTTGCAAAATTTGTAATCAGACTTATTGGTCTGTAATTTGGTCTTTTTTGGATCCGTTTTTAAAAACTGGATTTACAATTGATATTTTAAGTTCTTCCGGTATCTTACCTGTTGTAAAGATTGGGTTTATAATGTGCATTAGAGGCTCTATTATGTATCGGTGACTATTTTTCAACATTCTAGATGTAATTACGTCAATCCCAGGAGCACTGTTATTTTTTTAACGAATTTTTATGTTCTATTAATTCATTTTTATTGACAGGATTTAATGCCATTGAGTTGATTAGAGGTGGGGATATCTTATTAGGCAGTCATCTACAGAATTGATTTTATTTGCCATATCTATACCAATTTTTGAAAAATAGTTATTGCAGTAGTTAGCCATTTCTTTGTCATTTGTAAATTGTTTATTATTGTTTAGAATATTAAAATCATTGTTTGTTTTATTGTTTCGGTGTTCATTTGAAGCTTCTTTAACTATTTTGAATATTTTTTTAACATCATTGTTACTATTTTGATTTTGAATTGTATAATAATCATTTTTAGCTTTATTTATTATTTTATTTAGTTGGTTAGGATATATCCTATATTCTCTTAGAAGATTGTTGTTTTTGGTTTTTAATATTTGCTTTTTCATTTTATTCCTTTATTTAATAGATATGATGATGCCTTGACTTATCCATGGTTTTATGCCTATAAGTTATATTAAATTGTTCTTTTAGGGAATATATTATTTCAATAAATTTCTGGTAGGCCAAAATTGGATTGCTAAGAGAAATGACGTTGTCCCAGTTCACATTTTGTAAATTATCTATATCGGTGTATTGTGTTGTATGTTGGTTTAATGTATTATGGTTAAAGTTTCTTTCGTTTGTTGTAATATTTAAAAAAATTGGAAAATGATCAGTTAGATTAGTCTTAATTACCAACGATTTAAATGAAAAATTTTTATTTGGCATATTCAATACATGATTTCGTTTCTACAGTAACCCTGGTGTATGAATTAATATATAATACAAATCCCAAGGAAGAAAAAAATTGCCAAATATCTATTTGTTATTTGGTTTGAGGGATCAAGGATATTAATATTAATGTCACCAATAAATATATCCATTCCTAGCCCACTTGGTATATTATTTAAGAAATTTTTAAAATCTGTAAGAAATGTATCATCTGATATGGATGGAGATTTATAACAAGGCATAACTGTATAGGGCACACCATTATGAATAAATGTTATTGAGCTTATCGTAACATTTGATAGAGGCAACTTTGTATGTTATATTTCAAACTGAATGTTGTTTTTAATATACGGTGAGCACCATAATTCTTACCCCCCCTATCTAACTCGTTACTGGAATCTTGTTAGGAAAATCGCTGAGACGCGTCGATTTTTGATTTCTACAATGTACATTTTTGTATGAATAGTTTACCCTTAATTTCATCCCTTACTGGAGGGGAGCAACCCTTTCAAAAAATTTAAATGGCATGGGGTGGTGAGTGATAGCTCATTTGAAACAGGGTTTTATTCTCTATTCAACCGTGTAAAAATTTTTGAAATTTGCTTCATTAATTCTCGACTAATTGTTGTTTCAGAATAACGGAAATTAACGTAGCACACTCATCCTTAGAATTAAAATTCGGCCCTGCATGATTTCGGTTTTGGTTCAGACGTGAAGTAAGACTTTTTGCCATTAGAAGGTCACTGTTAGTTTAGTTGCTTTCCTATTTTGTGAGGATTTGTTATTTTTAAACATTAATAAATCAACACGTAATGAAGCAAATTTCAAAATGTTTTGCACGGTTGAATAGGGAATAAAACCCCCTTTCAAATGAGCTATCACTCGCCACCCCATGCTATTTAAATTTTTTGAAAGGGTTGCTCCCCTTCAGTAAGGGATGAAATTAAGGGTAAACTAATCATACAAAAATGTACATTGTAGAAATCAAAAATCGACCTGTCTCGGCGATTTTCCTAACAAGACTCCAGTAACGAGTTAGTTAAGGGGGGTAAGACTTATGATGCTCACTGTATATAACTACACCATCACATTGATTATTCACACTTGCATTAAATATATTGATAAAACCAGGTATAATTACATTATCAAGTTCAATAACATTACGTTTTTCTCCTAATATTATTATATCCAAAAGTTTCTAAAAATACTAAAAAGTTGTCAACATTTCTTTTTATACTTCTAATATTCAAATGCAAAATTTTTATTAAGGTTCTTAAATGATTATTGCAACTGATAATATTTAAAAAATTGTCTGTCATAACGAGAATTTTTATTTAATTCAATCTCATTTTCTTCATTTTCAATATCATTAAAAATATTTAGTTCTGCTATATCTATAAAAGAGAAAAAGATTATTTAAATTGTGATAAATTAGTAAAAACTATTATAATGTTGAGATTAAATTAAATCAAAAAAGAAAGCAAAGATAAGAAATTAATTTTCACAATAGGTTGTTTTATTTTTAAGAACCTGTTTGAAATATTTTAGAGTATTACACTCTGAATCAGTGGCGTAGTGATCAGTTGGATAGTTGGATTTAAAATTAATATTTGAATTCTTACAATTAGCACAACGCACTTTAGTTTTGACAGTTTTCTCTTAGATGTTCTTCAGCACAAAGAGAACAGATTTTTTTTGTACAATTTTGTTTATTATGGTAATATCCTTGACACTGATAGCATCTTGGTATGTCAAGGTCCTCATACACTGTGTATCTTTCCCAACCAATATTAACTTTATCTTCTTGCATTATATGGTTAAAAAGTTTTGGACTACATTCACAAATAATCATTTTCTTTCCAGTGCGCGGTTTTTTATAAATACAACTTCTATTTCCTTATCTAGGTTATTTTGATTTATACTGCATTTCTTGATGTCCTCATTGCACTTATCCTGGTTAAAATTAGCTATTTTTATTTTTGGTTTCCTCATCTTACTAAGTTCCACATCATAGTTATGACCCAGCTTATTTTTGACACTTTCTTCTAAGACATTCATTCCTTGTTTATTAGAACATTTAATAATTAATGCACCTGAATTAAGAGTTTTCATACTCTTAACTCCAACTTTCAATGCTTCAGGTTTAATATTTGTTTCAACATCATCCTTGGTTTTTTTGGTAATTTTGAGGTACCCTTGGTTTAATTATAATTTGTGAATAGTTTATTTGATGTGTTCGCACAGAACCCTTTGTTACTTGGGCATAAGAAGTGGGTTGATGAATAGGGGATTTTTCATAATCATTAATTTTTGCCTTCAATAGTTCGATGATATTTTCTTTGTCCTTTATTATTTGGTCCTTATCTTTGATATGGTTATTTAGAATATCAACTAAATCATAACTTCGACATTTGATACACAAAAATTTTAATAGTCGTCCTACAATAGGAAGGCACCTTATTTCTGAGGCTGACAGATTTGTACAATCTAAACAAATTAGATTCCTGCAGGAATCACATGGATAGCGTGGATTTTTGCATTCCTTGCTAGGTTGCTTAATTTGCTTACACAAATTACACTCCATTCTAATTTTAGGCCATAGTTGAAGAAAATAACATACCAAAAGTCGTACACCACTGGATTAGTTATTTGAATTGTTACTTATCAGCAATTTTTTTTTATTCTTTACTCCACGTTCTTGCATTCAAATGCAGAAAACTTAGTTTAAAATACAAAATTTTTCACAAGAACACTCAAATTACATGAGCAAATTATTTTAGCTACAAAATGATGTTAAATTTCAATCTAAATTGTGAGTAGAAACCACTAAACTATGCATTTGTTTAGGAGCAAACATAAACACCGCAATCCCTGTATAATGGCGTTTTAACAAATTATGAATATTTTTTTAATTAGAAATAGCAGAATTAGGATATTTTGATAGGTTTAAAAAAACATTATTTTAGTTTCAGGTTTGGGTGTTAGACATGTACAAATTGCTCTGCTTTTTTCATTGTTAGCCATAGCTTATGCACAGAGAGTGACATTATCCGTAGCAATTGTCGCAATGTTAGACGAGACCGCATCTCCTAATCCAGACATTCCTGTAAGTACTATAAGTATAATATTTGTACATAATAAATCCATATATTCTGTTAGCTGACAAAAAAAGTTTGACTATGAACCATAAAGGAAAGGTTTGAAATTATGTGTCATAATTCAATAAATGTTTACCAAGACATAAGTCATAATTCCAATATGACAATCACACACCCTTTCTTTAAAAGTGACACAACTTAAAATTCAAATCTTTTAAATTAATCCTTGATACCTTGAACGTGAATGTAAAAATACTGTACCAATCATCAAAATTGTTTTAACTGGGCTTAGAAAAGATGTAGAGTTGTTTACTAATCCCATTTTAAACAAATCAAAAGATGTTAATTTTGAATTGTGTCACTTTTTAATCAAGGGTGCGATATGTTTAATCGACCTTCAGTTCTAAATGTGTTAAATTGTTGGGTCACTTTTGAATCAAGGGGGCGATATCTTTAAGCGATGTTCATTTTTAAATGTTTATCTACAACCACCACCTGAGAAGGTTTGTGGGTTAGAAGAGGTTTTTTAACTTTAAAATGCGTTTAGTCAAATAAGAAAAAATAACAAATGAAAACTTATAGCTAATTATTGTTCTCGTCAGGTGCTCGTAGCAACGTCTCGAGCCCGACTGCCCACTCCGGTGTTCGACCGCCCGACCCCGCTCGTTTTCCTTCACTTCGCGCACATCACTTACCAGTGGCGTAGAGCACTTGTGTTTTATAACCACTATAGAGAAAGTAAAAGTTGAAAATTCTTTTGGTAGGTAGAGAGGGGGTAAACGTCAAACCACGTCGGGCGGCTCCGAGAATTTCACAGTAATGTTTACCTGCCAGTGTCGTTTCATAGAATAAGTAATTTTAAATTGTTATCGGCAGAACCGGACAATCGCATGTATTTATGGATTATAAATAATTATTAAACATGTATTATAATATTAAAATTAAAATTTTACAAAATTTCAACAGCTATTCACAATTTATTAAACTATTTACTCGAAATTGTTATTAACATCTATAAAATAATTTTGTACGCCAATGTATCGCGTCCACTTCGGTGAGATCCGCTGCCAAACTGTCAATTTATGTGTATAAAGTGGGAGAACTGGCAAAAGCATTTCCAACTTTTACTTCTGTTCTACACACCACAGTAAATCGTCTATTATGTATTGGTTTGTTTGTAAGTAAATACATCATTACAGATCCTGTTACGTAATGAAATTCCAAAACTGTAGGCAGTCGGATGGTTTTTAAAAGCAGAAATTGTTTTAATGAAATATGTAAATATTTAAATGAAGCTCTTGATTCACAATAATATGAACAAAGGTTTGTATGTAAAACAATTTTTCTTCAGTTAATTTAGTATTTGCATTTGCAAATTACAATATTTTTAATTAGATGTATTTAATAAATGTTATAAATTACGAAAAACCTTCTCGTTATTATGAATGTATGATTGTGGTTGTAGATAAAGTATAGTACATTACTTGAGTTGTAAGAGCAATTACATGCTCGTAGAGTTAATGGTTTTCTTCTCGCATGTAATTAGCGTCGTACTACTTTTGTTATGTAATATACTATTAATTATTTTCGGGAGTTTATTGTAGGTTGTATGACGTAAGTAAGAATGGTTATTTGTACCTTCTTTTTACTACTCTGATGTTTAATATTAATAACAAATATGACAGTAATAATTAAAATTAGCGATTTAATGTTTCATAGAATTAAAAATTTTTGCATAAACAAATAACAGAAGTCGTGAGTTCGAGCCCCGCCCAGAGTAGAATTTTTTCAATTTTTCAAAATTTTCTTTGCTTTGTTAGCGCGGGGTGCAGAAATTGGGGTGATTTCTCTAGCGTTTGTTTCGGTAATTTAAACCGACAAACATTTTCACAATAAACCTTCAGTTTATTCATCATTTTCAAATAAAAGATTGTCTACCTTCTTTAATTTTAAAACACTTTTCGAGACTATAACAATGTTGCATAAAAATTATCGAATTTTTTGGTCAAAATTATCAAAATGTTTCGTCAAAAAAAAAAAATTATCAAGTAATGCTCATATAATGCTTTCCAAAACAAATTTATTGTTAATTTGTATTGCACTTAGCTATATTTCAACTAACCAGCCATTTGTCTTTAGCCCTTTCAGCACGGCAATATTTTCACTGGTTTTGCCGTGTGGACGGCAGTTATTTGCATGCTGGATGGACGAGTGTCACATATATCTGCCACATAGTATTTACTACAAAATAAATGAATGCTTGACGAACATAATACTTTAATAAAGTGAAACAAAATAAACAAATAATTCCATCAAAAGTAGACAACTATTTATACTCAAAATTTGACTTTAGTGTGAAATTCTTGGAAGTGTGAAATTCTTGGAAGCATGGAACCACACATTGCAGTCCCTACACATATATCTGGATGCTCTTCTATTGGCCCAGTTCTGTCTGGGAACAGACAATGCACCTTCTTGAAGCACTTCTGGACTTGTCAGTTGCAGGTACTAAAGATCAAAAGTGCCTTTCAATCAGTTTTGAAGTTTTTTCAACAGACATAGGTATGGGTCTATTCACTTGTCCGTATCTGAAATAAATATATTACCATCAATGAAATATGTACAATATGTAGAGAACATGCCATGGGAATTCAGTACACACATATCCAGCGTGTGCACGAACAATTTCTTATACCATTTGATAGATTTACGCAGACTGTCAATGCTCTATAAGCATAGCCACAATATTTCCCAAGGCTTTCAGGCCAGTTATATTTTCTTGTTAAACGTAGGTATCTTTGCCAATATACACAATGAAATCCAGCACAATGCTACTTTCACAATCACACAGAATATACAGTTTTATGCCGAAACGATGACGTTTGGTCTTTATGGACTACTTGAAACTAAGTCTACACTTGAACAATATCATGCTCTCATCAATTACCAAATTTTGAAACGGGTAGATTTGTGACTTGAATCTCCGCTTGATTTCTTCTAGTACATACTGAACCTTGTGCAGACGGTCATTATCAGCTTTTGCCAAATGAAGATTTTTGAGGATTTGTACCATGTACTTACCTTAAAGCTGGGGTGTATAGTAGTCTACTGACCAATTTTCTGTAACTTCCAATTTTTTATTTCTGGACATTAGCATAGTTAATGCAATGAAAGTAAAAGATTCTCCTACGTTTAATTGTTTCCACTTCTTCTCATTTGGTTGTATTGCATATCGCTTAGTTTCTACTACTATATACTGAGCAATATATTCTGTGAAGAGACAAGAAAAAATCAATCTCCAGTGTCAGATGTTCGTTTTTCACTCCACTATTACTGTCATCAAATGTATGTAATTTCGACAAAAACTCGTTTTTTGTCCACGTAATAATCAGGTCTCTATAGTCTGTTGCGTCGGCGTCAAGATTATTTTCGGCAATTTAAACATCTGGCACATCTCTATCTTCGAAGCTTATTTCATTTACCTCACTTTCGCCGCTCTCCTGCTGGTCCGTGTCAACTTCGCTTGGTAGATACTCACACCCGCTATCAATGAACGGCTCCTCTTCACTATCACAGCCCAATGTATCACTGTTTCTAAGCAGTACATTAATATGGCGTGCCTCACGTTCATCAAATCCACAATAACTATTATCATAATCACTTTCCACTCTAAACCGATTTTTGAAGGTCCTGCCTGCTCTTCTGCCGACATTGTAAACAACACTAGTCACTGGTAACGTAGGCGGCGTAGGCCACTCTCCGAATTTTCCCTCCCGACGGCTGTCATGTATTTCCGTCATCGGCAGATATATCGGTCGTTCGTTGGTATGGCACGGATATGGGATATGTGGTCACCATTATTCGGTCAGTCGTCTATACGGCAAATTAATTTTTAAAAGTTGTCCGAAATATATGACATTGGTCCATAGGGCATGAATAACTCGATATCATATCTGAGAGCCGTCTGTGTGCCAAATTTCTGTATGGCAGATATATAGGTCAGCCGTACTGAAAGCGTTAGTAAACTTAAAACTAACAGTTCGCCCAAAGGTGTCCATGTGCACTGTGTGCACATCATTAATTCAAATGATTTGGTCCTTTTGAGTTCTCTCTTTAGATATTGGTTGTCCAGGAACTATAGAACTTCAATATTAACGTGGTCATGCAGCCTTTGTTATAATTTATAAAGTGATTGGTTTTCGAAACATTCTAATTCAAAAGGTTGATACTTTTTATTTCAGTTTATTTTAAAATTTTATTATTTTTTTTTATGTTCCCATCAAGAGTACAATATTTAATTAAAAAACATAAAAAAAATTAAATTATATTCCTAATAAGTTTTTGAACAGCGGCTTAAAATTTAGAAGGGATAAAGGTACTACTTACGCATGCCGTACCCCACTGGCAAAGTTTATTTAAAGGTTTCCTTAAAAAAAATTGTACATTCAAATATTTCAAGCGTCTCCTCTCCCAAATTATTCTCTATACCAGTATTTCTCAAACTTTTTTGGCGACGGAACCTTTTTGAAAAGCGAAATATTTGACAGAGCCCTAAAAAGATTTCTAAAAAAAAAGGTCCATAAGCAAAATCATATCCCCCTTCCTCTTAGTGACTTCTAAAAAAAGGGTCATAACCTTCTTCCTTAGAGACTTCTAAAAAAAAGTTCCTCAAGTCAGATCCCTACCTTTTGTGGCGATAGTACTGCTTTCTTATTATTATTATGACTGTTATTTTATTCGCGGAGCTTCCTAGCAGCCGTTCAGGAGAACATTTTGGTACTAACAGGACACTGACACGAGTTCATAGTTCATAACAGTAAATCGATGATATAATTACTGGGACTATTTCCACTTGTTCGCAATGCCAAATCTGCTTAATTTTAATGGCAAGATCCGCATACTTAACCATCTTCTCCTGATATTTACTGAGGATGTTGTAAGTGTTCGGTACCGCTACATCAACGAGGAGGACTGAGTTGACTCTTCTGTCCAATACTGCAATATCTAGTCTGTTGCTTATCTCCTGTCTATTGGTGAAAATGGACCTATCGTATTAGAGTCTAAAGTTGTCATATTCAAGCATCTTCTGCGGCTGGTATTTATAATACGGAATATAAGTGTTAAACCCAAACTTGTTGGCTAGTTTCTCGTGGATGATGTTGAATACTTGATTAGGTCTATGCAGATAGTCAATATTACCTAGCACGCTACAGCCAGATGTTATATATGCTGAATAGTCTCTGATGTTTGTTGACACTGCATTTGTCAGATTGGGTGTTGAGGTTCTTAATGACAAACTTTTTGTAATTATTCATATTGATGAACTGATCTTGAATAGCGGTCTTAAAACACTCGTGTTTCTGGAACGAGGGTATCGTTCTAGTAAGCCATCTATTTGAAGCTTGCTTGTCAATATGGGGTTGGTTTAGTTCATGGTGGTGTCTGCCGTGCAATGTCTTTTGTGGCAATTGTTCCAGTTTTTCCATATCTGAAACTACATTGAAATCTGCTTCGGGAAAGGCGAGGTTCAGAGGCGAGTAATCCTTATCAGCGTTGAATATAATTCCATGTAGGTCTGAGATTTCGGCTTTCCTATAAAAAAACTCCCGTAATTTTACTACCTGTCGAGAGTTAATAAGGTCAATTAAACCCTTTCCTCCTTCCTTTCGAGGTAGCGTTGTTCTAATAGTGTCAGCCTCTGAATAGCCTCTAGCTCGGTTTTTGTCCATCACAAGATCCCAAAAGAATAAGTTAAACTGGAATGGCGTAAGTGTTGATTGTCTGCACTAAATTGACTGAATTTAACACAGACTTCATAAGTGATTTTAACTTTTTTGTATATTACTACCTTTTTCCTGCTTGTGGTCCATTAACCTAACTTGTTGGAATGCTAGGTATTTGTAAGCTTCCCGTCTATGACAATATGAAGGGTTTTGCATTTGGAGAGACCAAACTCCATTATATTATATAACTGGATAATCTATGGGTTGTATCTAGAAAATGATTTATTTGAGGCTGGTTTGCTGCGAACAGCTTGATATCATCAATGTTAAGAAGATCAAAAATTGTACAGTTAGTGTTTTTATTAGCTTCAATTTTAAAGGCATATTTCGTGTCATTGAGTATGGTGGAGAGGGGATTCGTTGCGAGGCAGAATCAAAACTTAAAGAGTCACCTTGGTAGATTCTCCTACGGATGGGTATTTCGTCAGTACAAATGAAGTTTGGACCGAGACGCAGATGTAGGTTTGTTTGCCACCCTTTCGTTATTGTTGAAAGGAAACTGACAATAGTTGGGTGGATGTTGTAGATCTGCAAGACTTTAAGAAGCCAGGGATGAGGTACACTATCAAATACTTTATATCTGTCTTTTCTATATGTCTATATGTCAACTTTTGGCTTCTGGCAGAAAACGCCCACTTTCATTCCTTATCCAGTTTTGGACCTATCCGTGTACAGCACAGCGAGACTGACACCGTGCCTAGGATCTGGTGGTTATTAATCTCACTCATCAAGTCTGTTTTGTCCCACTGTATTTCTTTATTGCATTGACTACCAACCGTCAAGCCTAAAGAAGGCCATAATGGCCTCCTTTTCCAGTAAAATATGGAGAGGGGTTAGATCCAGCATGGTATCTATGACTCCCGTCGGTATGGTTGACATTGACCCAGAGATGGTGTCGCATGCAAGCCGTTGAATTCCAGCTAACTTTGTTCTGGCGATCCGTCAAAGTCCCTTGTCCCACCAGATGATGGAACCGTACGTAACCGTGGGTTTTACCACGGGATAATCTGGCTTTGTTGATGTTTTTTCAATTGAAGGTTCCAGATGAGTTTCTTATCTAGGATAAATCATCTGCAAAGGAATGATTTCCCGACCACGGTAGTTTGTTGAAGCTGCAGATTCCTTCTTCGTACTTCTTCATAATTATTCCCTAATTACTTTCCCCACATCATGCGCATATCATTGGAAATCTACCCCCTGCCGAGAGAGATTATTTTTTTTAACCTGTTTAATAATTATAAAGAATATATTATGTACAGTGACTTCTAAAAAAAAGGTCCTCAAGCAAAATCATAACCTTCTTCCTCAGTGACTTCTAAAAATAAAAAGTTCCTCAAGTCAGATCTCTACCTTTTGTTGCGATAGTACTGCTTTTTTATTATTATGACTATTGTTTTCTTCGCGGAACCCCCACAAAGGCTTTACGGAGACCCAGGGCTCCGCGGAGCACACTTTGAGTAACGCTGCTCTATACTATAACCAAACTATTACAAATAACTATGACCGAATATATCCTTAGTATATTGGGAATATTAAAATACAAATGGTCGAAAAAGGAAGATTTTTAATATTCTAGTCACGCATCATCACAACATTTGTTTGCAATCTTATATTTCCTGACTGTTGGTTGTCATCAGTAAGGTGAAAAAGTTCAAAAGAACATTCTCGCAATGAAATAAAAAAAATGTCTTTTTTATTTGCGAAATTTGTCCATTATTCGATATCTTTTGTTAGATACTTCCAGCACTAAACATTCTTTTCTGGTTTAGTTTTCTTGAGCTGGAATGTATCATTATGGTGGCTGTAACACCTCCATGGCGGCGCTGGTATTTTCCCAAAAATGCCGAGTAAGTCATGTTAAATATGTGTGGTTGACCCCTTGATCAATCTTTTGAACTTAGCTGAACCGTACTGATGAAGACTAGCAGTTCTGCGTTTTGTCTTTTTTCCCATTTTTATTTACGAGATTTGCTTAAACCTTCTTTTCTTCTTATCTTATTTTTTCAGACCTTCAAATGGAAGACAAAAAGCGTTATTCTCTCTTCCTTCTTCTGGGGGTACATATGTTTACAAATTTTTGCAGGACAAATTGGCAAGAAATATGGTACCAAATGGATAGCTTTCATTGCAATGTTCATAAATGCAACAGCTTGCGTAGTAATTCCACCTGTGGCTGAATACATTGGATCTTATGGTGTCATGGCTTGTAGAATGATTCAGGGATTGTCCCAAGGATTTTTCTTTCCCTCGGTCCACAACATACTAGGACAGTGGGCTCCTTCGGATGAGAGGTCCGTACTTGGAACAATAGCTTTTGCAGGTATTTATTGTTAAACAATAAAAAGACAAGATAACCTAAAAACCGACAAAATATTACAAGCCCTGAAAACTGAACAAAAACTATTATAAACAAAAAATTAACTTTCTTAATACAATTTGTAATTTTTAGTAATAAACACACATGCAATAACAAGAATTTTTAGTGCTTAATTACAAATAAATGCTCATTATTTGGCAAAATTATTGTAAAATAAAAACAAACCAATATTTACTGACAACTAAATGGTTCGGAAAAGCTAGTAATATTTGCCATTACTAGGTAATCTATAATGCTCCTAACAAAATTTTGGCATTCATCTCTCAAAAAGTTGTTACAAATTTCAAACAGTTTTGAATCTTCTCTAAGAACCCTCTTTGCCTTGAGCCATACTGTTGCTATAATAGTAAAGTCTGAACCAGTGCCCCCGCAACTGCATGTGCAACGCGTGCAACGCGTGCACCGCACGCGGGCGCACCTCTAAAGGGGCGCCAAACCGGAGGTCTGTATACAATTCAAATTTTTAATTTTTCTAAAGATTCCAATGAACAAGGCACTAAGGCACTAAAGAAATCAAAAATGTTTTTATCTCAATTCATGATAATATAATCAATAATGTTATCGAAGTTTGTTCGTTGATATAATGACCTATTCCTATTGTAACAGAAAACATACCTATTTCCGAAATCAAATAGCTATTCAATTAGGTTTAATTATTAAATATAATAAAATCAATAGGTTAGTTAATTCTGTGTGCAACATGCAATACCATGAATACCCATATAAAGTATAAACTTGTCGATGTTTCCTGTCCAGACTTGAAGACTCATCTACGAACCACGAGTATAAATAAAACTGCAGGAGGCGTCGCAATCCAAATAGCTAATATTTTCTTTGGCTACGTGAAGGTCAAAAACCAAGACGCAAAGTTATAGTTATAAATATTCGACGGAGTGCTTTATATTTTGTGTTAATTGTTTTGTAATTAAATTTTATGAAATGGTAAGTACCTACCCATATAATACCTATGTATTTGACTTGATTTATGTCCGATTCGCCTGTTCCCATTTTGCCTGACCAATTAAAATTTCCCGATTCACCTGACTAGCTCAAATTGTGGTATCGTTTCGCCTGACCATAACTTGGATGGTGCGTCCTTTTTTTATTATGAGGGCCATTTTCAAAATACATGCAAAATTTGATTTATAAGGATGATTTGATTTGAAACAAAAAAAAACCTGCATTTATTGACATTATTAAGCGTTTTGTACCAGTGTTTTTAAATCAATTATTTTTAAATTTTCTAAACCATCTTGATAATTTTTCCTTTAAATCTTTTTTCATAGATATACTAAGTTCTTTTCTAAAGTAATGTATAGTTGAAATTATTAGTGGAGGAATTTTAGTTTTTAAATATATTTTTTTTGTCCTGACCGGTTATTGGGACACATAAAAAAAATAGTTTATTCGCTTTACGCTTCGTCAATTTGAAAAAATGTTTAGTTTTTATTTTACTAAACTTTTTCCACTACTGAATGCTCTATATTTTTTGTTTATATCAAATTAAATAACTACATTTTAATTTAATTTTATGTTCATTTCTTATTATTATTATTATTATTCATTTGTTAGTAAAAGACTTCTTTACAGCAAATACATATTTATTACCTGAGCAGATCAGGAGAATCACAACTGTTTTTTTCCGTTTAACATGTAGTACAGGCAAAACGCTACCAAAGCATTTTTATGTCAGGCAAAACTTTTCACATCTGAAAATCGGGAAATGTGATATTTTTCCTGTGTGGCAAATTAGGTCTAAAAAATATGTTTATTTTTTCTGTTAAAGTTTGTGCACTAAAACCTGAATTACTCTCAATATTAAATGCCTTTACCAATTTTTGATCTAGTATTCCTTAATTTCTAGGAGCCATACAAGAGAAAACGACCTTCTGGTGCAAAATTTCGAGAGCAAAAAAAGTTAAGAGTCCAAGAAAGGGAGAAGATGGCTGGCAGTATAAAACATTTCTTGCGAAAAAGTCAAGTTTCCAACACTGAAACGATAGAGGAACGTGAAAATACAGTTTCTGAAGCGGCGGCACCACCATCTTCTGCAACATGTGAACCATCAACATCATCATCATCACTTATTGAAAATATATTCTCTATAGAGTCGACCAACCCAACAAAGATGGCTACAGGTGACACTTCTGACGATGAAGTTTCTACTGAAGCGGTGACTGAGATTACTAGTATTCTTATATCAGAGGACCCCCGTTTATGGCCCAGAAGTATTACCAACGACGAAGTCAGAATATTGGTTAACCGTGATCCTCCTTTGATAGGAAACAATTATCAATTTTCAGCTAATAAAGACAAAGACAAAAGAAAATTTTCAATTAAGTACTTTGTCAAAAAAACTAGGAAATGGAGAAGAAGCAAATAGAATTTGTCTCATTTACTCAGTTTCGAAAAAATCGATATTTTTTTTTTGTTGTGAAATTTTCAGTAAGACTTTCAATAGTTTTTCTGATACTCATGGTTTTTCTGATTGGCGACATGTGTTCTTAGCCATAAAAAGACATGAAAAATCAATTGTACATAATGTTCACATGAATACATGGATGAAACTAAAAAAAATATTAAAATTATCCACAACCGTAAACGATCATCACTTACGGGTTTTAGAAACTGAAAAAAAAAAATATTGGCATGACGTTCTGGAAAGAATTGTTGCAGTTGTCAAATTTTTATCCAGACAATGTCTACCGTTCCAAGGTTCTTCTAAAATACTTTTTGAATTTGATAATGGAAACTTCTTCAAAGCTGTCGAGATAATTTCCTCTTTTGATCCTGTGATGAGAGAGCACATTAGTCGAATGCAAAACTTACAAACAAATTCTTTAAAGATGGCCCATTATTTAGGCAGATACAAAACGAAATTATTGAATTAATGTGTTCTAAAGTAAAAAATAATATTTTAAATATGATTCGCAATTCCAAATATTATTTAATAATTTTAGACTGTACGCCGGATACAAGTCATACAGAGCAAATAAGCCTCGTTTTGCGTTATGTGGTTCTAAATGACATTTCTAAAAAGGCTCAAATACAAGAGAGTTTCATAGCGTTCAACCCAATATTTGACTCGACAGGGGAAGGGCTATTTGATTTTGTCGTTGGACTTTTGAAAAATTTGAATTTATATATTAAAGACACGAGAGGTCAAGGGTATGACAATGGGGCGAATATGCGCGAAAAACATACTGGTTTACAAAAACGCATACTCAATGCTAATCCCTGGGCATTTTTTGTACCATGTGCTGTACACAGCTTAAATTTAGCAGTAAACGATGCTTCTAAAGTTTCAAATGAAACAGTTAACTTTTTCAATATTGTACAAGAACTTTATGTATTTTTCTCTTCATCCACGAAAAGGTGGAATATTATAAAAAAGCATGTCCCGAAGTTAAATCTAAAACCCCTAAGTGATATTAGATGGTCAAGTAGGATTGATGCTATAAGGCCGCTAAAGTTTCATTTAATTCAAATTTGTGATAGTCTTCTGAAATAGCAGAAAATTATACTTTTAACATAGAAGCTAGGCATAAAGCAAGTTCTATGCTATTAAGTATCCAATCTTTTAAACTTATTTGCAGTGTAATAATTTGGTATGATGTTTTATTCCAGATTGGCATTGTAAGCAAAATGATGCAAAGTGTAACGACTGATATTAAAGTGTGCCAAAACTATTTAAAGAATCTAGTTGATAATTTTAAAAATTATAGAGATGATAATGTTTTCGAGGAAAAACTTGCTCAAGCTGGAGAACTAGCAGCCGCTCTTGAGATAGAGCAATGTTTTCCTCCATTAAATACTGTTAGACGAAAGTATAAACCAAAACTGTTCGATTATGAACAGAGAGATGAGACACCTCAAGATCCAAAAACAGCGTTTAAAATAAATTTTTTTTTAAAAATAATTGATCAAACATTAAGTTCTTTAAATAGTAGATTTGAAATATCTGATTACGACAACGTTTTTGTTTTTTTAGTGATATTTTTAAATTAAATGACGAAGATCTTTTAAAATGCTGTCGTGCTCTACAGCAAAAGCTAACTGAGGAGGAGGCTGACGTAGAAGAAAATGATTTATTTATTGAAATAAAAGCCCTAAGATTGTTTTCATTACCTGAAGCGTTAAATCCCCTAGACACTTTACAATATATATTTGAAAACAATCTAACTTCATCTCTACCAAATATTACCATTTCGTTAAGAATCCTGCTTACTATACCTGTATCTGTAGTTTCCAGTTAAGAGATCCTTCTCAAAATTAAAAATAATTAAAACTTATTTGAGATCTACCATATCACAAGAAAGCTTATCGGGTTTGGCAATCTTAGCTCTAGAGCAAGAGATCCTCAATAAAATTGCTTTTGACAAGATTATAAAAGAATTTGCAGCAGCCAAATCCAGAAAAAAACCTATTTAATTTTTGGATAATTGAATGTTTTATTTGTTTACTGTTTTGGTTTGTTTTTTTGTTTGTAAGAATAAAAAATTGGTTTTTGAAATATCTGTTGTTTCATTACAAAATTAAAATAAAAGGTGGTTTCGCAATTCGCTCAAATGTTAAACTACTACAAGAATATTACAGCAAACAAGGAAATTTAAAAAACATATGTAACAGCTTAAAGTTGTTATTCTTTAAAATATTATTTATATAAGTACTGCATATATTCAAAGGGCGCCAAAATAACCCTTGCGTGGGCCCTGGTCTGAACTGCCTACATTCCAGTCTAGAATAGTTTAATTATATTATTTATGAACCAAGTTCTAGTTAACCTAGCTGTGTGGCAAAATGTTCCATCCTACGGTAAGATAAAATTTCCATCAGCGTACAATTTTTCTACACTAGGCGCCGCGCGCCGGGTTGTCAAAGAGTATTCTTTGATTTTTCTCTTCATTAACGTTTCCGTCAATAAACTCCAAAGTGCCTAACCC